ACTATGATGAATAAAAATAAATTAATCATAGATAAATAATAATAAATAAATCAATAATAGATTATAATAAATAAATCACATAGATAAATTAAATTATAAATAAGTAATAATAAATTTAAAATAAATAATAACATATAATAATAAATTATAATAAATTATAAGAGATAATAATAAGTTTAAAATAAATAAATCTAAAATCAGATTAAATTAAAATTTAATTAAAAATTAAATAAATTAAATTAAATATATAAATTAAATTGTGATATAAAATTAAAATTAAATATATAAATAATAAATTAAATAAAAAATTAAAATATATAAAATTAATCCATTTTCCTGCATCTAATTTTAGGTTGTTAACGGCAGTTTGGCTATTAATCCGGGGCGTTTAGCAGACAATGCAGGTGGTACATTTGCACGTCTTATTATAGCTCCTCCGGCAAATAAGGATGAAAATAATTTTCTTAGCAACATAGGTTGTCAAGTACGCAAAGTTTAATTTTTTTACACATTTTTATACTTTTATTTTATTTCATTTATACTATTTCATTATCAATTTTGTTTGTTAACAAATTAAAGCATTTTTAATAAAAATCACTAAAATATAAATTGTTTTTAACTTTTTTATAAACATTATTTGCTAAATTCACTTTCGATAAATATATTTTAAATGCAATCGATAACTTAGTTTCCAAAGGCACTTGGGAAGTATTTTTTATTCGACTCTACAATTTCTTCCAAAATATCATCGACATCAGTTTTAGGATAGCGATCTATCCATGATTGTATATAACCTTCATGATTGGCTTCATAAGTTGTGAGCTTAACCTTATCACTTTCGACGGAAGTATTTGCTTGTACCAAAATTATACGTGGTTTTTTATGTGCCAGGCATATGTCACGCCATTTAGCCCAAGGATGTGGACCACTTTCACTTACTTCAGAATAATACTCATACATTTTTGTTGCTTCCACAATATCAGCAGTGGATTTATATACTTGCAATTTCTTCAAAAATTCTTCAATTGCTTTTTTACCCACTGTATGCAATTTCGTACGATCAACTGTTAAACGTAGATTTTTTCCGTCTTCAGTTTCTTCAACAGTTACAAAACCTTCACCCGCTTCCAATAGGACTTTCATAATAACAAAACGTGCACGCGAATGTGCTTGCATCCATTGCTTAGATTGTGGATTGAACATTTCTAAGGCAACGCCCATGCCGTTCCAAATGAGACTTAACCAATTTACATAAACAATAGTGTCTTGTTCTGCAGGATCTTTAAAACCAAAAATTTCTAGTATATCTCTTTGTAATGAAAGATATAAACCGACGGCTTCGGCACGACATTCCTCATATGAAGAACTAATAACGCCAAATTTCGTATCATATGTTTCTCCAGGTAAGTACCAAGTTTTGATTGGTTCACCAGTGACTAAATTTTTAGTATTGTCTTTATCGAAATTAAATTTACCATTTTCATCAATACGGAAGAGTTTACCACTGCCATGACCTAACAATTCATGGAGTCCAACCTGCACCTGTAATGAGAAATTATAAATTTGTCAATATTTATTAATTCGGGTAGTTTAGCAAGGATGTTTATCAAAGATATTTAAACATTTATTTTATTAAATAATATTATTTAAAAGCAGCATTTTGTTTTTATTAACTGACCAATTTGCCGATTTATATATAGTTTTGGGTCATAGAAATAAACAATATTTATAAATTACATAGAAAATATGATTTTAGTTAAGAATCAGTTAAGTATGTATTTAGATGACTTTACAAGGTTCACTTTGTGAGGAAATATAGGAAATTTGTGGAATTATATTTGGTATATGATTTATTTGAATAAAGCTATAAAATATGAAAACCTCGCTGATATTACTAAAATTAGCTTCTAGATTAGAATAAAATTAAATTTAATTGAAATCAACAGGGTACTGGCTTACAACGATACGGAGTACTGCGATCATGCTACCAACTGAACTGAAGACACTCAGCTCTTCTTATGAAAACCAGAATATCAACTTTTGAAGATATCCTTATATTAGAGTGAAAACTGCAATAGCAAAATCTCGTACATTATCTGTACATTATTTGACGCGATTCCGAAATCCCAAATTTATATAAGTTAAGAGATATATGAAAGTGAAAAGTTTGTACACCCAAAAATGGATAAGATATCAATTGGTAAATAATAAGAGATAATTTCAAAGTTATAAATATTTACCTCAAACGATTTAACTTTGTAGTCCTTCATCAACACTTGGTCTTCGTCTGATAAAAATGGTATAGGATCTTTACGATTGATGTTAGCTAATACATTTCCTAAGGAGACATTCTTGAATCCTTCATCTTGACGTATCTCATCATCTAAAATTTAATAATCTAAAATAATTCTGATATAATTGTAACAAGACTAAACATACAATTTGGAATATTTATGCCAGCTGGCACACCGCTTCCAGCAAATGTTAACACATCAAGCGATGTAAAATCAGGTTTCAAGTAAGCATCCTTTTCATATGCTTCTGTCCATGGTAAATATTCTAATAGTTTTTCTGCACGTGCAACAAGTTCTGCAAATTTAGCAGAACATTCTTTATTCACCATAGCAACGAAACCTTCGAACTCAGCACGACCACCAGCTGGATCACGGTAAGTTTCAATAAAACCAATATAGGTTTCAATAACAGGACCTTTATCCTTAATCCACCATCTAAATTATAAATTAATTTTACAATATAATAGTACATATTTGGGATATAGCGCAATTCACAAATTACCTTGATCCATCTTTATGTTCTGCTAGTGAACCATCTCGAAATGAATTTACATAATGATCTATCATTTTCATCTCATTATCATTGGCAGCATATTTTTTTGCATTTAATAGATTTTCATTCACACGTTTTAACAATTTACAGTAATCGCCACGCGTCACACGGAAATTATGACCCTTAAATGCTTCCAACGGTATTGTAATACCATCTTTATCAGAACCTTCCACTGAACCCAATTTTATATCATAAATAGTTTTGTCTCCTTCTTCAATTTTAAAAGTACGACACATATAAGGTTCAATACGTTTAGCAGTTAACCATTCATTTACAATATCTGCATCTTCCTTAGTGCAATTATCAGACCAATATGTAGTTATGCCATTAGGTGCAAAACCCAGAACTTCATCACGTGGTTTTAAAGCATAAATCAAAGATTTGACTTTATTTAGGATGATTGGCACATGCTTATCCTTAGCATAAGCATTTGAGAGACGTACGATTGCCTCGAATTTATCTTCCTCTAAATTGGGAATAATTTTACTATCTCCCATGCCCTTGTAGTTACCCGTATTAGCAAAAATTCCACAGGCATAGACAAGAAAGGCCTATAATAAAAAAAGGAAAAATTTAATTACAATATAAGTAATAATATATAGATCCAGTAAATAAAAATACAAAACATTGAACTTCTCAGCTTAAGCAAAATAAATGTTGAAACTTAGAGCAATTGTCTCAGACTTCCAAGACTGATTGAGTCTTTGTTCCGAAGCCACTTGTTAAGTTCAAAGACCAAGTGCAGTTCACCACAACCAAAAGGATCTACACAAGCAGATCCTTCCAGTTGACAACAACAACAACAGCTTACAAACTCTTAGCTTATTTGAGAAGTTCTCTCTAAGTTCCTGTTCTCAGATTTACTTACTGTAAATTGTTCCTCTGTAATTCCATTATCCAACGCTCTTTGTTTGAAATCTTTGATTGGTTCTGCCACGAACACACGATGTAATAGTGCAAATATCAGTGGACCTTCTGGGCTAGATTGTATTAAAGATATAAGTCCACCATCCCACGAAGCTTTACTGAAGTAATGAGCGTATAGTTTTTCTTTCTCCGTTAAATTCTCGAAAGCATTTTTGCATTCTAAGTCAGCAATGGGTTGTGTATTAGGCAAAACAAAATGCGATGTATGACCAGCAGACATTGTGCGTGAGAATGGCTTTAAAAAACTGAAATAAATAATTAAATCTATGTGAGATAAAACTGTATGCATATAATATACCTTACATGAGGAGCAGCGAAATTTTTAAATAGTTTTGGTTTAATATTAAAATTATTTATATATCTATTTAGCGATCTATTATAGGCTAAAGCGAAAGAAGTAGGTGTCAACTTTGTAGAAAGATAATGTTTTTGAATTTTATAGATTGGAAGTAGCTGACGAAGGCCTTTAATTTGCAGACTAAACATAATTCGAAAGACGGTTTATATCTTAAAAAGCCAATGAATAGCTGAAAGTACATGAGGGTCAGAGTTTTTGATTAGTAAGTATTTTGAAAACACTTTAAATTTAATGTACTTACATTTATTTGAAAAGAGAAAAGGTCTAGCTTTTCTTTGGAAGAAAAAGCACGTCAAGTTAAAACGTTGCTATTGACTAAAGCGTCAACACATGAACTGAAATGTTAGAGAATTAAATTTCGAAATTGTGCCAAAATGTTTACAGAACAAATAGAAAACAAAATGTATTAAGTTTAAAAACATGCAATTTTTAATTTGATTTAAATCAGGATATGGCCTTACATTTTTAAAATTTTAAATTTAACATTCATCGAGAGTTGGTGATAAGAACAATAGCTTCCCTCTGTATTTACATAGCCAATTCGACTACGTGACGGCATGAACCTAACCTTACAATTTAAACACAGCTTTTTTAATTTTTTAAAAAATAAACATTTAAAGGTTTAACATAAAAAATATTGTTGTAGAAAGATTATATAGAATAATTTTTTTTCTTTTCAACAAAAAAGTTTTTATCAACATTTGGTTTGCAATTATTTATTATCTATAATAGGTTACTGCAATTTTAATTTATAAGATAACTGTGGCTTGTTTCACACACATGTATACGTGCGGATTTATTCACATCTTAAGCCTTTATAAACCAGAACCTGATATATAATTATTTAAAACTTTTGGGTTAACACACACAAATATAAGAGGTTTTTCTCTAACTTTCCTGAGTGCCACGCAATGCATTTTACCGGCTTTTTGTTCTTATCGTTGTTTGGTTTTTAATGCTAGATTTTTTGTTTTTTTATTAAAAAATTAATAATAAATAATGAAGACTCACCTTTTTTTAATAAATTGTTCCAAAATTAACAACAACTAAGCATATATGATAAATATGCAACTCCTTGAAGCTGACGAAAATGACTTGATTATTTTATAAATTTTGCAACATCAGCTGTTTGACAGCGACCAAACAGTGTTGCAAAAGTACAAAGTAGATTACGTAGGCGCTAATGCATAACAATATCGTAAGACTTACGATACCTGACACGTTTGCTAGCTATCGGCACTCCATATCTATATATGAATACTAATTATGACGTACTATATTTTCTTATTCTGCTATAAATTATAAACGATATAGTTCAGTGAGCATGTTGTACCATCCAATTGATATATCTGTTATTAATTAATATATATAAGAGAGTTTTAGTATAGAAATTTAAATAAAAAAAATAGCGAATATAAAAATAAACGAATGAATTTTTTAAGGGGTCATTATATGATTGATCTTTTGCAACACACAATTATGTCATATATTTGAATATGTTGCAACTGTAAGTAGAAGAAATGTAGCTACTCAAACAATGGTGATAGAATTTACATAAAACTTTTTTCTCACTTTTCATTCAACTTGTGACAAAACCATATACTGCAATTATTTTAAGTGCCGCAAAAATAATCGTATACCTTTAAGTGTTATTTGGCGTTTTCACTGGCCAAAAATGGCTCATTTTGAATGAGCTTTTTAAAAGTGTTTACATTCTTTGTAATTCATTAGTTCCCATTTCAAACAGCAGATTTTTCAACTTGCCTGTTGATTTGATTTTTGGCCTTTGCCAAAAAAATGTTGCATGAAGGTTAGGTATACCTTCAAACCTTACAATATAATTTGAAAACATATTTTTAACTTATATTGCGTACTTTTTGCGTAGTAAAAGTTCTAAAAAGAGGTGCATCGTTTTCAAGGAAATACAAACACCAAACATCTGTTTACCTTTTTTGTAAATATGTCAAAAACAGCTTTCTCAAACTGTCGAAATGCCATGAAAAGCTTTTATTTAGGGTATGTTCAATGTAATCCTTTGCATTTAGAACATATTTGGAACGCGTTCATACAGAATGTGATCCAATGGATCTCATTCGCGCTTGATATTTTGTTTGCAAGAATGAGCCATTTGTTTCTCATTTTCGATTTTTGACCAAAATGAGCCATTTCAGGCCATTGTAAATGCCGTATTATGATTAAATACAATCTGCTTATATAGTTACTATTACTTTTTGACACAATTTTTTATAAAAACTTTTGGTCTTGAGCTATAATATATGTGGAGTGAATATAATATAATTTATTGTACAAATTATACCAATGAATATGAACGTTTATGCGTATAATATTATTAATTGGTGTATGAAATCACACATACAACACATAACATCACACAACACAATCAGCGTGTAGACCAAAGTAGATCCCTTGGGATCACCGGTATAACCTAACCATAACATATTATGAAAATAACATTAATATAAACAATGATGTGTTATTTAAACCGTTTTATTGTGATATATACAATTTTATCATGTTTATTTTATTCTGAAACACGTAGATTTGTTCTATATAAATATCGAATTTAGAGATAACACTGAATTACTACTTTTTGAATTTTTAAACTTAAATACAACTTTGCCTATAAGCAACATTTTCATTGAACTGTCAAATTTGACAATGAAGCCGGTTTTGAAAAGGAAAATTAACGAACGCTTGTATTGTTTCTGAACGGGAAAAAATTCTAACGAGTTTGTGACAAATTCTCAGTACGCGTTGAAAATAAAAAGTTTAATGTTAAATATTCTAAAGTGAAAATATTTTATTACAAAATTTTCTTACCATAAGAAAGAGAATAAAATTTATAATAAAACTAAACAATACGAAATAAACAAAATGGAAAATTCTCCGCATAACGCTGATACAACAGATGGTACTATATACTTATCTTTCGATTCAACATTGAGTTCAAATGTTGCATTGATCAATGAAATAGATGTATCTGCAGCTGACGAAGATTTATTAGACGACAAATGCGATGACTCTAATTTCTCAAGTAAAACATTGGAGGCTGAAACTTCAGAGCGTGGGTCCATGCTATGCCTGGATAAATCTGTTGCTACTATAAAGAAATTAAATGCTAATGCCCTGAATTATGTGTCTCCGTTGCGTCCAGTTTCCAATAACATAATGAAAAAATTTCAGGCATTATCTTCTACACCAAGCAAGGATAAACTTACCATGGTAGGATTTGAACGCACTTCCGAGACTAGTGTTGGATCTGGACTTAAAATTGGATTTTTAGAAGCAGAGTGTGAAAAATCTAGTCCATGTATTCAGGCAAATTATATAGAAAATAAGGAAAATGTTTTAATACAGTATGACGAAATTGATGTATCCACATCTACAAGTGGAGCTTACTCTTTATCCTCGGACATTGAATGCACTGAGTTGAAGGAAAAGAAATTATCACCTTTGAAACACACCGAAAATACAACATCAACTAAAAAATTAACTTTGAAAGAAGTAGCATGCCAGAGAGGTAAAATAAGTTTTTGAAATAATATATTAAAACAAAAAACAAAATTTTTTAAAATGTATGTAACTTTAATTTTTTATTTTTATAGCTTTTGGTGTTACAATTTCTACTGAAGTAACAACTTGCCAACCGAAACCAAATAGCATGGTAGATAATGCTCCTATATCTGATGACGACTCTACTGAGCTTCCTGGTATAATGAAAAAAACTATGAACATTGACGACAGTGCAAAGGGTCCAATCCAAAGTGACAGTGTTGCTACTAAGATTAACAAACTTGAAAAACGGATGGCGTTCTCAAATTACCGCGGTCGAACCTCGTTATTGCCAATACCAGAGAATGAAAAACGTGCTTTTAATCTATCAAAGCGTATGTCGATTGTAGTGAAAACTACACTTAATTCACCAGCACGTAAAATGGCACGTAAAAGTATTATAAGTAACCAGACGCGTCGAACTATAAATGCACCAAGTAATGTTAATATCACCAATTCACGTAAAACAATGCTACCTCTATCAAAAGCAAAACCTGTACCAAATTTAGCATCCGTCCTGGCCGATAATGCAAAACAAAAAATTGTTACACGAAAGACTTTGTGTCCGCCTAAATCTGAAACGACTGATACATCGCAACTACAATCAACAAAAGTGAAGAATGGAAAAGATAATATAGTACCACAAACTAAGCCAAAACCAGTTAAACCAAACACCACTTATACGTGTAACATGTGTCCCTGTACATTTCGTATTAAAAGTTTATTAGATGCACATAAGCGGTCACATGAGGAAAGTCCTCATGTAGTAAGAAAGCAAGGTGGTGGTGGCGCAATTGGTGGTAAAGTTAATACATACCAAAACCAATGTAAATATTGTGATAAAAAATTCGTTTTGGAGCGCACACTTCACATACACCTAATGCAGAACTGTAACAAAATACCACCAAGTGAAAAACGCAAATTGGAGTTTACTGAAATGAATCACGTAGAAAAAGCTCAACTGCCTTCATTCTGTCATGGAAATGCTTCTTTTACACCACCAGCCATTTCACCAATCATTGTAAAAAATCCAGTGGATAAAGTTGTTAAGAAGCATAGTTCAAGCTCTAGTAGTGGCACACAAAGCTCAGCTGATTCTTTTTGTGATTTAACTGGTAAGTTGCAGAATGCTATATCCTATTTCGCTATTTAACGACTTTTTGTTTTGTTTTTCTTTAGAAACTAAGGGTACTACTAATTTGAAGATGCAACCTCCGCAAACAAAACTACGTAAGAATGCAGCACACGTTGGTATATATCGCACACCTAACAAATCCCTTCCATGTCATCTTTGCAAACAAACATTTTTAAACGTTTTGGACTATACTAATCATATTACAAAGATGCATCCAACTCGTGAGTTCAGCAATACACAGAAGTATAGCGATGACGCCTTTATGAATGCAGATAAACCATCCTAAATCAGCAGTAGCATTTTATTTTATTCATATTTATTCATATTTCAACTTATTTTTCTATAGTTTAAGTTTTTTTTTTCATATATTTATTTTGTATAACGTAATGGAATTTGAATTCCAATTAGCTTGAATGGAACTGTTAGATTCACAAGCTATTGAAAAGTTACAAGCTAAATTGATAAAATATTGCAAGCAGTATAAGTCTTTAGCGGGTAAATAATTTGGTAACGTTTTGTGTATTTTTTTTTTTGTTCTAATGTTATGTAGTCAAAAATATATAAATGATGCCAATTTATATAAATTTATTATATATATTTTATATACAGAGAATTTCTTTTCATTGGCAATTGATTTATACATTTTTGACTATATTCGTAACAAATTTTTAAAAAGTAATATACAAATTTTTGATGTTCATTGTGTTTAATGTAAAATATTATCCGGTGTCCATAAAATATTTATTTTTTGCAAGAGACAACTATAAATTAACAAAACAAATTGAATAAGACTAAAGTTTATTTAAATATTTGACTTTTCTTCTATATGTAACAACATATTGATAAATAAAAATTTACTATATATGTATAAACAATATATTAATATGTTGTAATTTTAAATGATAAGGCAAACAAATCAATACGTAATCTTATATGTGTAAATTTATTTGCAGCGTTTGTATCTACTTTATTAACGGCTTGAAAGGCACCCGAATCTGTATTTACTCTGATAGTCAAGCAGCAATCAAAGCTCTATCCTCATGCAGGTTTTTCTCAAAGTTTTCATTAGACTGCTGTGATATGGTGCAGCAGCTAGCAAGCAAAAACAAAGTGACGCTTTACTGGGTGCCTGGTCACACAGGAATAAAGGGTAATACGTCTGCCGACAGCCTTGCCAACGCATGATCTGCCACCCAAATCTGTGGACCGGAACCTTAAGGTGGTTTAAGTTGGTCTACAACTAGGTATCTAATAGATAAATGGATTTCAGCCGAGAGATGTCGCTACTGGCTCGATAGTCGAGGCAACCGTCAGGCTAAACAGCTGGTTCATCCATATAGTTATGGTAAGGTATCCCTCCTCAGCAGATCAGATTTGAGATTGCTGGTGGGATATTTAATGGGTCACCAAGGACTGCGTTATCACCTTAATAAAATAGGTCTGTCCGAAGAGATGGAGTGTCGACTCTGCTTGGAAGCAGACGAGACTTCTAGTCATATTCACTGTGACTGCCCAGCCTTGATCTGGGCAAGGAAGAGGTCGCTGGGAGGAGAGCTGCTCTCCCCTTCTGACATTAGGAGGTTCTCAGCGGACGACATTCTGGCCTTCATTCGGAAAGCAGAATGTCTTCTGTTCGGTTAGGGTCAGTTGCAGCACAAAAGATCATTCTGGTCGCAGTGCTCTACTCCGTTGGGAACTAGTACCCAGTTTACTGTTATCTTATGTTATCTTATGTACTTTATTAAAACATCATCAATATTAGAAATTCTCCTGATGAAGGCAAAAGCGAATTTGGTTTGATAAAAAAATCTCATATGTAATACGCACTTGAAGCAGAGTTAAATAAGTTGGGTTAAATAAACTAGCAGCACTATTGTTACATATGCCATTACAAAGTAAATGGTTGTGTTTTTAAAATCTGCTTATAAAAGATTACACCTAATATTTGGTCTGTTTCACGAGCTACTCGTAGTAACTCGCAGTGCGTTACACCAGCAAATTTTCGAGTAAGTAAGAGCATCTGAGAGAGCGTAACATCCCTGCCGAAATTTGAAAATGTTACACTGACTTTACTCGTATATTTTATTTCAAGTAAAATTTGTGTGATGTAATTAACTATTTTGGTTTGAATTTAAAATGTTATATTGATTTTACACAAAGCTGTTCCATTAAAATTTGTGTAAAGAGCGTAATTTGGCACTTTATTTGTGTTACGCTCTCAGTTTGTACTTTACTTGTGTTTTACTAGAGTTTTACTACGAGTAGCTCGTGTAATAGACCTATTGTAATATTGTACCGGACTAGTAATAATATATATAAAGTTGTTATAGTATTAGTAGTAGTTTTATAATTTTATTTTTAAATTTAATGTATTACAAAGTAACTTATACAATCGCATAAAGCTTATAGCTATGACAATTTTGTCGTGTACCAAAGTAGTAGTATAAATAAAATAATTATCTGAAATATTAATCAAGTTTTGTTGGATTCAAGAAATAGTTATTTTTTAAAAATAATTATTTCACGGGCTAATTGGTCAGTTATTAAATAATGATCTTTTTTTTTAAAAAAAATGTATTATTTAGTTTTATAAGATTATTGGACAATAAAAATATTGAAATATTGGACAATAAAAATCTTATAAAACTAAATAAATTTTTAAAAAAAAAAAAGATCTTTATTTAATAACTGACCAATTAGCCCTTGAAATAATTATTTTTAAAAAATAGTTATTATTATTTATTAAACTATTTTAAACCAAAAATGAAATTAAAGAAAAAATCCACAGTTGACATTTAATACTACTTGAACACTGCGCGCACCACATAATAAGAACAAATATTTTTAGTAAATAACGTTTTACAACACTTAAAACATAAAATTTTGCACAAAGGAAATGAAATATTTGTGACGAATACAATGCCAAAGTAGAACAACAAAAAATTCCAAAAACAACTGCTGGTTCAGTTTGTATTCATATCAATATTAACAAAAAAAAACATATCTATTTAATATTATATTTATATAATAAAAACTGTGCACGAATTTAATATTAAAATAAAACAAATTAGCTAAGATTCTAAAGTATATAACAAATACAAATAGCGTTTTTTGTAAACTGCTCGTTATTGCACTATTTTTCTTTGAAAAATTTAATTTTTGACGTTGACTGCCGCAATTGGAAGCCTCTTCAGTTTGTGTTTAGCATTTCGTCGTGGCGTTACAGAGGAAGAGCGGAATAGAAGAAAATCGATCATGGTATAAAACTACTTTAACTTGTGTACAATATAAACAATATAAGATAAATATAAATCAATTAACAAGTGTAAATAATCGATTCCAAAGGTTTTGGCAGGGAGGCAATTTTATGTGATTAAGTTTTATAAAAATTAATTAAGCAAAATTATAAAAATATCAAAATTTTTTAAAAATATATAGCTTTATTGCAAATTTTTATAATATTTAATATTATGCAACATTTTTCCGATACATACATAAAGCAAAGTAAATTGTTTATCAATAAAACGTCATCAGCCAAGGCAATCAAATTTCAGCCTTGAATTTCACGGGCGATCGTGTCTACATTTTTTGTTGTTATTATTTTGTTGCGTATGAAACCAATGATCTGTGGAAAATTTACTCTATAAAAAAAATTATTTGCAAAATACTAAATGTGTAAAACATTGACTTTTTCACATTGTTATGGATTAATTTATGTATAAATATATATCGCGTTGATTGTGGGTGTGAAATGCTTGAAATTATGTGCGCGCTTATTTACTTGTGCAGAAGATTACTTGTGCTGTAGTAAAAAAAAACAAAAATAAATTTTTATTTTCATAGAAAATGTTTGATTAGATACACATTTTTAAAATATTAATTAATAAGTCTAATAATATGTATTGGTATTGAACTTGTTAAGTGCTGGTAGTTTGTTTAATAGATCTTATATATTTCCATTTTGGTCAGATTCTTTTACAACAAAGAAAAAGTTTTCATTAACCTAAAAAGATAAATGATTTGATTAAATCTATTAAAATTGATATATACATACCTATGTACATATATGTATTTCAAAACCATCAGAATAATCAAGTTTCTGGTTTATTACTACTTTTAACTATTCCAAGAGCTTTGGTTTGCTTACAACAACATCTGTTGTTGTTAAAGTCTAGATGGTCGACTTACATTCTTAGTCCCTGAGGGGAGGGCTACCGGTATTGATTATTGTTGTTGTCGTACTAACCCGCAATGAGGTAACGAGCGTAGAACATGAAAAGAAAACAGAAGTCCAGCAGCGGCAGCCGACGACTCTCCCATTAGGTAAAGGTAAACCAACCGGATAGTTGTATGTATCTGGCTACATCTTTTGCTTTGTATGAGAACCAATGTTTCTATGAAATGAAGAACGAAGTAGATTTTTATAATAGATCAAGCTTTCCAGCGTTGTTGGAAAGAAGAAATGCACATACAATTTAGATACATTATCTTTAAGTTTATTAAAAAATAACATTAGTCATCATTCTAAACATTCTTTTATTCTTTACATAAATAAACGTGAACAATTTTTGGTTTATTAAAAATTCCCATTATTAATTATCATACTATTCACTACTGATGCCTCACATAGAGAATCGTTGAAAATCTTCAGTTTATAAGAAAATCCTATTATTCATCATTCTTACCATTCATTTTAGTTCTTGCCTTAAAGAATTGTTGGAAATGTTCATTTCATTAAAAAATCCCATTATACATCTTTCTAACCATTCGTTTCGATTCTTCACTGAAAGAATTGTTCAAAATTTCTCATTTCATTAAAAACTCCCATTATTTATCATTCTAACCATTCATTTCGATTCTTCACTGAAATAATTGTTGATAATTTCTTATTTCAATAAAAAAAAATCCCATTATTTAATATCATTCAAACTATTAATTGTAATTCTCCGCAAAGAATGCTAATATCTCTTGAAGTGCTTGTTTTGTTGAAGGAATGTTTTTTCTATAAATAAACTTTAAATATAAAATTATTATAAACATAAATATTTTTATTCTTAGATTTATAAAGAAGATAGCATTTATATTTGGTGTGACGAAGAAACAACAATAGAATATTGTTTCGACAAAGAACCAATTGTTATGCGATATATTAAAACTGAACCGTACTATGAGGTATTACTATATGTTGTACAAAAAGTCAGTTAGTGTCGGTTGTAGTGTATAGTCATGTTATAGTCATGTTTTTATATGTGTTTATTATTTTTATAAGAATTCAAGAGAATTTTATATTTATAGGGTCTACCGCCGTTCAATGTATCCGGCAGTCCATTTAATGTGGTACCTATACACACTTATCCCGAGCTAATGCCGGCCACATGTAAGCTAATCAATGCAGAATGGCCACGTAGCGAAACTGCACGTATGCGCTCATTAGAAGCATCCTGTGATACACTGCCTTGCAGCCTAGTTCTAACTACAGATGGCATGAGTCGTGTTATTGCCCATTGCAAACTCAGTCCCATTTCATCAAAGAAGAAAGCATGCTTTGTTGAATCGGTAGTGGTTGATAAAACAGTTCGTGGTCAAGGCTTTGGCAAATTGATGATGAAATTTGCAGAGGACTATTGTCGCATTATATTAAACTTACAAACGATTTATCTATCGACAATTGATCAGGAGGGATTTTATGAACGCATTGGTTATGAATATTGTGCGCCAATATCTATGTACGGACCACGTCATTGTGAACTGCCTAGTCTAAATAATGCCAGAAAGAAGTATATGATGAAGGTTTTATAGAATTATGATGCTTACAAACACTACAGCTAGAAAAAATTTTACAAAAATTTTTAGTATATAAAGATTATAAAGATTAGTTCAACAAATGCAACTTAAGCAAATTTTAAGACTAAAAATTTTTCTGCAACATAATTGTGAATGCAGCTATTGTTATAAATAAAATTGTTAGTTTATATATTTGTAAAATGTGTGCACACATAATATGTATATTTTAATAAAAAATTTTAGATATTTTTTAATGTTGTAACACTAAAATAAATAATTAAAAATTAATATGTAAATTACTTAACTTAATTCCATATGATTTTTTCTATATATAATTGAATTTTTAACTACTGTCGATTTTGCTTAATTTTAACTATATGCTTGTATTAATTAATTTATTTAAAAAACTATTTTAATTTAATTATAATTTAATATTTAAGAAAGTCTTAACAAAATTATAAATTTTGTTAACAGTTTTTAAGCATTCATAAGCACACTCCATTGACATTTTATGCTATTATTTATTGTTTTAAATTATTTATAATTTATTTATTAATTTAATTGTATTTATATTGTGCTATTTAAATATTTATAATTTCAACAGAACAAATAAATTCTATATATTTTTATATGTTAAATTAAGTTTTTCTTTTCTTTTATTTCTTATTGAATGTAATTCCACCAATCTCAATTAATCCGTGCTTACTAGGAAGACTAATAGTAACTTTGGCTCAACGATATTATATCTAGGACAAGTAAACAAATTATGATTAAGTAAACAATTTAATTATAAATAGCAATAATCATCTTCCAATATGTAGTAAATATTAAAATATTAATTTTAGAAAATTATTATAAAACTATATCATGCTTTCTAGATGCTATTTTATGATAAATTATATTGATATTGTTAAAACTAAATGATTTATATAAGAAATAGTTGATAATATATAATAAAATTATTTAAAATATAATTTGTTTTCAATATTCACAAAGTGTTTGAAGTAGTTAGTTTTAATAATGATTATTTATTTATTTAATTTATCTTTATACAGCATATATTATATATTATACAACCAAGTAATATTGTTTATACCTAAGTGTATCCTCAGGATCGCCAGTATAACCTAACATACTGAATATTCTCAACAAGGTTTTAACGTTGTGTTTGCAATGAATTCTACCTTAAACAGCAATCAAAATGTGAAGATGTCCCATTTCAGGCTATTTATGGATATTCTTGATCTGCCTCATGATTTGCATTCTTAAAGATTCATTAAAAATTGGTTTCAGCTTCGCGGAGGTAATCCTGCGTCACTTTTAATGATTGTGCATCTGTTCGATGTTCAAGCTCTTGGTTTAGGAGAGTTTATTATGTAGATTTATTAGTTCAGTGTAATAATATAATTCCCCACACAACAGTAAATATATTAATATATCTTCTTTGTGAAATATTTAACTTCCACTTTGCCTTTTCTATCTGATTATCCGATCTGATAGAGATTGTAAAATGATGTATGTAAAATATTATCATATATCTTTAAATACGACTGAAATGTCTTAATTTATTCCAAGACTATATAACGTCAAATTTAAACTACTTGACTTTAGCATAGTTTAACTAGTTTCTATTCTAATTATCTGACTATTTTAGAAATACTTATAGAAAATACATCACCACATATATATGAGGTCTATAAAAACAATTTATTAAAAGTTATATAAAAATAAATTCTTAATCAAATTCTTATTGGTAATTTGTTTATCTAAAGCTACTAAAATTAGCAATTTAGCAAATCATTTTCCTCTTCCTAGTTCAGCATAAATTTATGCAAATTTATAGTTGACAAATTAGTACAAAATATTTGAACTGCACTAACAATAAATTATGAGAATCGAAAATAAACAAACATCAAAATATTTGACTCAGTCAAGTTCAAGTGCAAGGTAGGCAGGCGCTCCCATATGAAACACAGGCATCTCATAGA